TTCAATGTTTGAAAAAATGAAATGTGCACTCTTTTAAGCAAAAGGCATTTTACCCGATGTTTTATATGATCCTAACAGAAGGTCCCATAGCTGTTATGTCAGTGTGCAGTAAACTGGAATGTCCTAGGTGCTTATGGAGTTATCCACTGTGCCATAACGACATACAAAATAAAAAATAAAGAGACTGAAAAATAGATATAAATGATGCATTTTGAATCATTGCTATTTATGATCTTTAACGTTTAGATATGGCTAGGTCATGTATACGGTACATAGCAGCTTCTGTGTGGGTGAGTATGTGTAAAACATGTAGCATGAATCCACACAGTGCTTGTTCTTTTCAAATACTAATACTGAACTGTAAATAACGTCTAAAATGTGATGTACTGTAATATGGTGAGCTGGAAACATCTGTTTTTTTCTTTAATTTTGAGCTGTATGTTTGCATTGTGGTGTGGGAATAGTAGGACACAGCTTGAGCCAGATTCAAGAGAGGATGAGCTTACAAGCCATTAATCAAGTAAATACCTTACTCTGAAGTACTTCCAAAGTTTCTATTTACTTTAATGTCATCACTTACATAAGTACAGAAATAACACCCACAGAATGAGTTTGCAATGTCAAGGCACACCAATGACAAATTTGATGTTTTTATCAGAAAAGAGTGATAAGATACCCTGACCTTTGATTTCAGGTTTGTATCAGCAGAAATTACCTGCTTATTCAGCCTAGTTTAGAGAAGCTATTGACTATATTCATGTACCTCAGTAGAATATCCAGACACTGTAATTCCTTTAGAATCTGGAGATCTAAGCCAAGGAAGGAGCTTCAGGTTTAAAATCACAAATGTAGAAGCTTGCTGAAAAAGTGTTACTGTGGTGAGACTGGCCTGATCCTACCAAGCAGTTGATTCCAACTCTTTTAGTCCTAATGAGACTGTAGGGTACTCAGAATAGCCAGAGGTGTTTTATGACAAGGGAGGAGAGAGTAGGGAGATCCTACTCTGTTGTTTGGCTTCTGAGTGTAGGCATCACAGAGATGGTGTAAATGGGGGGCACTCCCACACCAGGAGTCCTCTTTCCCTTACTCTATGTTTAGGGAGATGCACACTTGCTGCTGTAAATTTGAACCCTGTGTGACTTGTAGGTTCTGATAGTTTATCCATAAGGGATTTGAGTAATCTGACTGATGGGACAGTCAATAGCAGACCAATCATAAACAGTTTTCACTTCTGAGAACAGTGGGATTCTAAGCAGAATACAGCTCCAGAAAGAAGTGTAAATGAGTTGTTTTCCCTTTACAAAGAGAGAGGGAGGGAAAAGGCCAAGGATGGAGAAGATCAGTGTCAGCTGCTCCAACCACAGTAAACTGCCAAGTTAGGATCTCAGACAAAGAATTACAAGTTTAGTATTTACACTTAAAAGCTTAAATATCTGGATTTTTTTAGACATGTTTCTCTCTCTTGTTAAGCTTATTTCTTACTCCATACAGATAATGCAGCTGAATCAGCATGTGTCTTTTTTATGCTTTCAGAAGTCTTGAATATGTTACATATGTTTTTCAGGGTTTGCTTTGAATCTCTTTCTGTTTAAGGTTTCTATTCTCAGATCATCTGAAGAAAATGCTAATGATACCTTATTAAACCTTTTCTCAAATGCATTGTGAACACTTTAAATAAGCTATATGCTAAGTGCAATAGTACAGATATAAGTGGTAAAATCATGTAGCTGTTAGCAGTGGTGCTACTGGCTCTGCCTGCAGCAGAGCCAGTGTTCTACTCTGTAAAAGTGCAGGCAGGAATAAATCCAGGAAAATCATCTCTTCTACTCATACATCCCAAACATGGGATCTGCTGCCATCCTTTTGTCATGCCTCAAGAACTTATTTGAGGGTTTGCAACTGGTATGAAAACACAAAGATCATCTACTGTAGCTTATTTATTAACTCTTATTTGGGAGACTTCTGAATATTAAGAAGCAGCAAACTGGTTCAGGGCAGTGCTCCTGAGCACATGAGTGTGTCTCTAACAATAGCTCTAAACAGATACCCAAGGAGGAAAAAGAATTGCAATCACATGTGATGCTGCCTCCCGTGCTGCAGCTTCATACTCTCCCAACCTTTGGGCATTTTTAACTGTGATAATTTTGTGAGATTGAGAGAGGTTTTTCTGTTAAATATTCTACTCTTAAAAGTATTTGTCCAGTCTCTCTTGAAATAATGTAAACTCTTTTATAGATAATAATGTCTATGGCAAGCAGTTCCTCAGACCTACCATATCATATGTGAAGAATCCCTCCTTTCATCTTGATTTGACCCTGACTCCCACAAGCTCCACTTTATGGCCACCTATGCCTGTCCTGGAAGAGGCATTCAACAATGGAGCTCATTCTTCCTCACTCTCTCCCACTGTCCCCTCGCCCAGCAACTTTCCCATCTCAGGAGTTTGTCAGCCTCTATTCTATATCAGCCCCCAGCCTTTGAGTCCAGCAATACCAGAACTAAATATTCTCCTCCCTCTCTTTTGCATTTTAATCAGTGACAGGACCTTCCCTTTTATTTCATGGCTTCTTAGTTTTCTCAGAAAAAGGGGAAGTCTTTAAACTTCAGTTTCTGACACATAAAGAAAGTCTCTTTGTTCTATACTTACTTCACTTCCCAGAGAATCAGCTAAGCTCCATGAAACTTATTCTTGTCGACCTTTTAAAAATTAACAACAATGTCCTTCAACTCTTTGAAATTATGATGTCACTCAGATATCCAAATCAATTATTTCAAACTTTTCAAATGTTGACAGTCAAGGCATAATATACAGATACTGGAAGTATAGTCATATACATCTCAGATCTTATTTAATTGTTTATTTTGCCGTCCTCAAAAAGGAACCAATTCTTTATTTTATAGATGTTTGAAAGGTCTTTATCTGCAGAAAATAATTTGAAGAGAAGATTTCTTATGTTGAAAAATAATTAATTGAAGCTGCCATGTCACTTTTCCAGAATTCTACAATAAACTGCTAACTACCAGATTAAATAAATCAAACATAAAGAAAATTGCACTTTTTTCTTTAAATGTAGACAATACTGTGGAAAAGTAAAGGTAATGGTGATACAGAAAATATTATATATATGAAAAACAAAAGTAAAAGGGATTTGAATATGTTATGCATGAAACTTCATGTTAGACACAGTATTAACATGTGAAACACTTATATTAGATGGAATTGAAAATAAAAATTAATGTTTGAAGTGATGAAACTAGTTAAATAAACTTTCATTTTGTCATCTATCATATTAGCTGTAGAGTCACATAGACTTAAAATATCGATATTATTGTGAAGATTTTAATCTAGCGTTGTAACAATAAACAATTATGCATAGTAATTAGATTCTATAAACATCCTAGTCAAATTAGAAGTATTACAAAGAAAAAAACCTTGGGTCATTTTTAATATTAGGCTCCCAATATCTACTCTGAGCATCCTTCCCATTGTTGTACTAATGCTAAGCAAACTTTGGTACCCTGAGAAACATTAGGCTAAAGATAACTCAGTAAAGAAATGCCACAGGAAAAGATTCATGTGAAATGTGATGATTGTTTTGTAAATGGGTGCCTTCACTTGCTGAAGTGATGGCAGGGAGTCACAGGGAAGGGAGCGAGTGGAGCTGCGTTGCTGCAAAGGTGCCCTGGGAGCACAGGGAGCACCCACAGCTCTGCGTCTCTCCTGGAGGGTTTGTCACATTTACACACAAAAGCTCATCAGACAGGACCAAGGGCAGCACCTGCTAGTAGAAAATGCTCATTGATTCCCCTGTTGCCCCTGAAATACCTGAGGAAGAACAGGATGGGGAGGAAGGTGCTTCTCTCTTGCCTTAAAAGTATTGTGGTTGTAGCAAAGACAAGCTGACCCTGAAAGACAAATAATTGACTTGGGACAGCAAGAGGTTCATGACCGCCTTGCAAAAGGGCAATGGCTTCTGGCAGCAGCCTGTATGGAAACGTGGTGGGTAGAGGAAGGGCGGCAGCAACCGGAGCATCGCTTCCTCCCTATCAGCTGCCTTGCTTGGTTTTCTGCATCCTTCCCCTTTGGCTGTCTGTCCCTGCACCACCCTTTCCTTCTTCTCTACTAGCCTGGGGACATTGGGAGCAGCTGCCCTGCTGCTCCCAGGGAGGAGGAGGCCCTGCTGGAGGGCCCTGTGGCCCTGCTGGGGGGCTGCAAACCATCTCTGTGGTGGCCATCGCCCCCACCTCAAACCCTCCCTCCCTCCTCAGCAGCAGAAAATGAACTGGGTCGGTGGCAGTCGGTGAGTGAAACTCTTCAAAGGCTGACAGAAACATCTCCATGCTGTATCAGTGTCCCCTCACAAGCTGGGCGGCGCTGCGGTTTGTGTGGCGAGACAGCCATGGTGTGTGTGACAGCCATGGTGTGTGTGACAGCCATGGTGTGTGTGACAGCCATGGTGTGTGTGACAGCCATGGTGTGTGTACAGCCTTGGTGTCCCCTCACAAACCAAGCACAGCCTTGGTGTGTGTGATAGCCTTGGTGTCCCCTCACAAGTCAGGCACAGCCTTGGTGTGTGTGACAGCCTTGGTGTCCCCTCACAAACCAAGCACAGCCTTGGTGTGTGTGACAGCCTTGGTGTCCCCTCACAAACCAAGCATAGCCATGGTGTGTGTGACAGCCTTGGTGTCCCCTCACAAACCAAGCACAGCCGTGGTGTGTGTGACAGCCTTGGTGTGTGTGACAGCCTTGGTGTCCGTCACAGGGTGGACACAGCCATGATGTTTGTGACAGAACCAGTGTCTCTCCACAGACCAGTAGCACCACAGTGTGTGTGTTTCAGCCCCGAGCCCCCTGCTAAGCCAGGCTGTGTGGGGAGGTGCAGGTGCCCTCCCACCTCAGGCAGGGCTGTCATGTTTGGGCCCAGTGTTTCTCCACAGGCAGGGGCTGGGTGAGGCATTTCCTCCCACCCTCAGCGAAGAGCAGTGGTTACCATTTGGAGAAAAAGATGTACAGGTATTGACATGCACTGAAATAGTAAAATATCACAAACTGAGTAGTCATTAAAAAAAAAAAAATCAGTTTCTTTACTTACTCTGTCATCTGCCCATCTACTAGAAATGTAAACCCCACAGATTTTGCCAGCCATTGGGAAGCAGCATTGCTAAATACAGCTTTGTAATCTTCCTGAATCTATGCAGAATCAAACTAAAAGAATGCCCTACTCATCTGGAAGTTTTCCCAGCAAAATGGGATTTCTGAATGCTGCCTCTGTGAAGCAGGGGGAAGGAAGAGCTTCAGTTTGAAGAAAAAAACCACCAAAACACCAAATCCAACATTGTCCTAAATGCCTGTCCTAAATACCCTCTGTAGGAAAACACAGTGTGTGGTATTGCACGCATTTAGCAAATACAAATCAATGTGCTGCTTGCTGCTGCTGGCAGTATCTGTCAGGGTTCCTTAGGTGAGTCTGGGATTTGCATTTGAGGTGTCCGAAAAACTACCCATTACTGGGGCTTCTTCCCACTGCAAGGGCAGATGTTATATGCACATGTTTGTAAAGTTTGTTCTAACCTTAAGAACAGGAAAAGAAAAAAAAGTCATTCCAAGGGGGATATAAGATATTTCTAGCCCTCAAAAAAAGTCCTAATCTTACTGACCCGAGGAATGCAGCTGTGCTCACCCAGTGACCATGACCTCCAATTTTGAGCACGGTGGCCAGTAGGCAATCCATTTCAATTCATTTAAGGCTATGCTTTACAAGTCAGATACATAGTTTAAGGTATGACTGTCTCCTAGAGTGCACAAACAACAGCATCTTGTAGTGACAAACTATTTTTCTTACCTTTTTTACGGAAGGTCCACAATATTCTATACCAAAAACATAAAAGCTTGTATAGCGCTCCTTTAGTTTTTTTGCTAATATGTTTTTGTAACTATGTTGCAACCTGACAAAGAAAATTAGCAGAAAATAATATATTGACAAAGATTTCTTAAGTTTTAAGCAATTACAAATTGATGAAATGTTGCATTACAGGTTAAATGACTAAAAGCTTCTTCTGTTTTCCTTTCTCGTGTTCAGTGTAGTAGCCTAATATACAATGTGGTCCTATCCTTGCCTGCATAAACCAAGATCAGTCAAGGTGACTTCAACAGAGATATATTGACTTAACTACCTGAATATTTGATCCATTATAACATATAACATAACATTAGCATAGCATAGCAGAACACAGCACAAGACAACATAGCATAACACAACATAACATAACATATTTGTGTCCTAAATTCTCAGTACCATTTATGAGAAATTCAAGCCATGACTCAAGATTATACTTTTGCAATTAAAATAATAAATTTTTGCATTTTTAGGAGCAGAATCATATTAAAGCAGGAAAGGAGAAAACAAAAGGTAAACAGTCTTAGCTACCTTGGATTTTATATTGTTACATAAATGTTTTAGTGGGTTCCCTTAGGTAATACTTTCAAAGCATTTAGACTCAAAACAATAACTTAACAGCTGAAATGTTTTTACCTGACTTTTAGGGCAAAAGTCTTGTGCTAGGTTTACTACACTGAATTCCAGCAGGAAGAGGAGGCAGCCAGAGAAGGCATGAATGAATGAATGAATGTGCCCAGTTTAAGTTTTACTGAATTACTTCTGTTACCATATTATGTTGGTATGTGCTGACGCATGAGATTGTTTGAAGCCTCACACTGACAACCACATAATCCACTGGCCTAACACACATGCACAGCTATTCTTCTGGCCTGTATTAAAGGGTGTTAGGCTCATTGAAGTACTTTATTTGGCATTTGCAAAAGTAGGCCAGCTTGTTTGTATTTTGAATCTGAAAGTGAAATAAGAGAATCAAACTTATCCCTGGCCAAAGACATTTCAAACAGGAAAGAGGAAGAAAACAGTAAGAGAAAATGGCTATAACCATAGTGAGTGAAGTCAGTGTCCTCCTAAGCAGCAGGGAAGAAAGAGGCAGTACAGGGAATCTCCACCACTGAAGCTGGTGTCCCTAATGCCCAGAGCAGGTGCACAGGCATATAGAGGAGCAGGAGAAACAGGCTGACTGTATGGACACAATCACTGAAATGAAAACCTTTACATAAGGGAATGCGGGACCAATCAGCAGCTTGTTGTCCTCATTGCTTTCCCAGTCTCCTGGAGGCCTGTGAGTTCTCAAAATATCTGTTTTCTCAGGGATTACTGGTCTAAGACACATAATTAATGTTACAACTATGTAATTTGCTTCAGTGGAGGAAGGAAATAAGGAAAGGATCCAAGTCAGGGTTGTTCTTAGTAATGTAACACTAAATTACTAAACACAGTTCTAATTTTGTAATTGCTATAACACAGTTATTAGTAATTTAGAGGTGATGGGAATAAAATATCTGGGACACTAAAGGGAAGTGGATACATCTTTTAGGCATGTGGACCCAAAGTAATATGAATTTTGAAGTGTTGATTTGTACACAGGTTGATTTTCTTAACTGAAAAACAGATATTTTCCACAGATTAAATTAGCCTAGAAAGCTAAAGATAATAATAAATTATACTGAAAACTAGTAATTAGTTACCAGTGAACATGTTGGGTGTGTTGGTTACATGTAACCTGCAAACACGAGAGGAATTTCAGAAGAAAAGCCGGTGCTTTTTTTTTTTAGGCATAGCCTTCAGTTTTCAATATCCTTCTTGTGGTTAGAAAAAAATAAATCTTACTGGTTTTATTATTCATCTGCTGTACTTGATTCTAACGATTTTAGGACGGTTATTAATAGTCTCTACAAAATGAAGGTTTTTGTTTCCTAAATTTTCCAGAATTATCTGCGTGACGTATTCAAAGTGTCAATTGTATCTCTTTTTATTCCTTGCAACAAAAAGTCTTTCTGAAGTCTAAATCATAGAGATTTGTCTTCCTTTTTTTTTTTTTTTGTCACAAGACTATTTTCTTTGTCAAGAAAGACAAATTTGGAGAACAATAACATTGTGTCATTACAGATGGCACATCTGGTGTATGTAATCTTGCTAATTTATTTACCTACTACTTTACAAGTTGCCTAAAAAGTCCAAGTTTAAATTTTTAAAGACTTCCTTCTTGCCACATTTATCTTTTATTTGAAAGAAATATTTTTAGTGATTGTACACAGAGTTTGAGAAATTAGTGTTTAAGGACTAGATTTTTAGATAACAAGATAACAGTGACTTATTCTGAATATGACCAAATTATGCTTGCAGTTTTTTCAAGGCAATAAAAAATAAATTAACTGCTAACAGGATGTGAGAATTCAGAGGTACTTAATAATGTACTTTTATTATTAGGAATTGTTCACTAAGTCTTACTTGCTAATCTCAAAAGAAATATCTATACTCCTGGTGTGTTGCTGAAGCTTCTGTCAAAAACTTATTAAAACTTATTATCTCCTTTAAAAATTTAAGGAATACTTTGAAAAAAAGAAACTTAAATCAAAAATGAAGCTTCTGGAAGTGTCATCTCCTAAACGTTCAGCAGTCAGTTTAGATCTTCTTAACCTGTATGTGGTTAACCAGATATCAACCAAAAAAGACAACACTGGTGAGTTTCTTTCTGACTTCTCAGAATCAGTTATCTATTACTGCTGTTATATTAGTTCTTGTTCTTCTACTTGTGATTTAATGCTCAAATAAGTGCTGTTTTATTTTTAAAATAAAAAAAAATGTAACTAAATACAAAAATTATGACTGAAGAAAAAGTCAGGGCATAAGATGAATCAAATAACCTTGGCTACTGCCTAAATCACATCTAAAGTCTTGTACACTGTCCTGGTTCTGGCCAGGAAAGGGTTAATGTTTGCAACATACACTTTTGCACCTTCCTCATTTTCCATTCATCAATTTTACCCTATATCCATTTGTTTTTCCCTTTTCCAATGAATGGGTGCATTTGTAATCCACTTCCTTTCTCATTTGGGCATTTGAAATAATCTTGTCAGTTCTACCCAGGTTATCTTTCTTAAAATCCATCATTAAACTTCTTAAGAAATGTCACTGCAACTTGAGTCCTACTTTTACCTGCAGAGGGGTACTGAGAGACATTGTTTAGTGGTGGACTTGGCAGTGCAGGGTTAATGGTTGGACTCCATGATCTTAAAGGTCTTCTCAGACCTAAACAATTCTATGACTCTGTGACTCTTATTCTCTGTGACATATTCATAAACCAGATTGTGGAAAATTTGTTTTCCTATGCTGAGGAAAAGTAGGAAGGTGACCAAGGAGGGCAACAGAACCTGTCCACACACAGTGGCTGACTGTGAATAATTTTATACTATTGTGCCATTTAGAATAGAGTTTTTGCATTGTTAGTAACAAAGAAAGCAAAAAATATGATTTTAGATGGATTAAGAAGTCTAAAACAACAGCTTTTATACCCTAGTGAAAATTCAGGAACCTCAAAACTTGCTCCAAGCTCTGCTCTGACATACCAGATACTTTCATTGCAGAGAACGTGAGGAAGCCAGTCCATGTGGCTATCACTGAAAATGCAAAAAAACTTCCTGGGAGACACAACTTGGAACTTCCCATGTCACCGCCACATACACAACATAAGCCAAACCTAGATGATCTCCAGAACAGGTACTTGTATAAAATAGGCAGTAGTTATGCTAAAATGAAGTTCTAGAAAAGGTTTTTCATGATGGCCTTATATTTGGGGTATCAAGAAACCATAAACATACTGTTCTAAGCGGGGAATTTCACAATCACTCCTGGCATTCCAGTGATACTCCTACTGTGAGAGAGTAAATAAATAGATTCTGAATAAAACACTGCACATGAAGCTGAGAGATTTTTTAAAAAAAGGTAATGTGTTTTTACTCACATCAGGTAATACACTACTCATGTCATACACTAGTTTCATCTCGAGAAGCAGGCTATTCAAACAGCGTTATCCACTTATACTGCTTTCCCATCCAGCTTCAAACCCTGAACTGACCAAATCACACACACAGACTGCTCACAACTGCTTAAGAATCAGACCTTTGTAAGATGTGTGGGAAAATATTCCTAAATTATTTTGAAATTAATACTCAGAATATTTTAATCTTATAGATCTTGCATCTTGTATTTCATAGGCTGTTTTTATTCATTTTACAAGGTTAGAAAAGCAAGTATTGGACAACAGAAGGCAGCATCTCTCAGAGAGAGTAAAATACCAGCATAATGTAGGTTTATTTTACTTATGATATAAAACTAAAAATGTTCAGCAATTGCTGTATTTTTAAGTGATTTTTACAACAGTGACCAAATCTCATTGATACTGAAATATGTGAAGTCTTCCTCTTTAAGACTGTTTTGGTATATTATTTTGCAGTCACATTTTATATTTGTTCCTGCTATTGCTTACATATGTCTGGAAAGGCTCATCTTGTTTTAGGCATTTTCCAAATTAGAATATCTATGCTCTAAGCTGGTCATTAAGAACAGAGCTTATGGGAAAGGGACTGAGGCCGACAGCAGGGAAATTAAAAAAATATGCAGAAATGTGAAATGATGAAATGTGAGAAGCATAAACAAAAGTGAGTCTTTAAAAGGAACTTAAGTGCAAGTCTCAGAACCAATTCAGCAGATCATTTACCTATATATGTAGTGCTAAAAATTTATTTATACCTGTGTCTCTGCAGGATAACATTTGTGTGCATGCTTCAAATTAAGTAGGTACTTATGTATTTCCCTGAAATAAGCCCTTAGAGCCTTATGTCTTTCGTGAAAAAATCATATAATGACTTTCAAATACATGAAGATTTTCTCTTCCTTGTGGTATATGTGCAGAGATATAAAAGATATAGAAAGACTTGATTACTTTGCACTTTATGCTTAAATCAATATGGTTTTTGATAAAATGTCTCTTTACTATGTTTTGTCTAGTTGTCACAAGCAACAGAATTAGTGTATGTTGGCTCTAGTATGGAACAGGAAGACAGCTGAGCAAGGGCTTTTATTGCTTGTTCACTGTCTTCTTAGGGTTTTCAGTCCTCTAACTGTACTCAGCTTCCAGAAGAAAATTTCGACACAAACCTAATGGGCAACATTTGGGAACAGACCTGTGAAGAGAAGCTGCAAAACCAGGTTTGCTTAATATTTTACCTCCACAGAATTATTTCAAACTTTCATTTATTTGGTATGTAGATAGAGTGTAAACTGTGAATATAATTATGAATGATCAACATCTCTTGTAGGCTCGTGGCAACGATAGTCCGTATATACAAATATATTTGTTTTATTGTTCTGAAATAAAATTAACTTGAGCTTAACACTGAGCTCTCAGTATTGCTGATATCTGCAGAAAGAGAATTAGTCACATAGTGCTGGCTTTCTTTTGTTTCTGGCTTGTAAAATTAGTTAAAAAAGCTGAAGTGTATTATAGTTGTAAACACAGCTTTCCTAAACACACAGTTAGTGTAACTGGGTGTCGTATGATCCCAGGTGACCCCATGACCTAATTTTTAATCTTGCAGTGTGAGTAACATAGTTCTTACAGTTTTCTCAGTGCTCTAAAAGGAAAAGCCTGCTCTTTAACTCATTACATTTAAGTAACAATTGAGTTATTTGTTCTGATACATGTCACTATTTTTTTCTTTTTGTTAACTTCAGGATTCTTAAAACAGTCATCCTTAGAAAAGTATTAGCAAATACAATATCCTTTATTTTTTAGAAAATATACTATTAACTGGAAATAATAAAACAAACTATGTGTATCACCAGTGGTATTATAAAGTCTTGAGGTAAGTGAGGAAGAAATACTTCAAGGGCCTCAGAAGGGGAGATGTTGGGTTGTTCAGAGAATGAGTAGGCAGAAACCCAGAAGAACCTGACCTGAAGAACAAAGGAGCCCAAGAAAGACGTTTTCAAAACACAAGGACAGTGTACCTCAATGTGCAAGAGAATGAGTAGGTCCTGGAGGCCAGTTTGGCTGAATCAGGGAACTCCTGACTGAGCTCAAATGCAAAGAGGAAGTGTAGAAGGAGGGATGGGCAACCCAGGAAGAACACAGAAGCACCCCCTGAGCTTGAGGGGATGCCATTAGGAAGGTCAGAGATGAAAATCACAATTAGTGAGAAGGGCAGTAGGGAGGACTTCTCCAGATGTTTCATCGAAGAAAGAAAACCAAGGAAAATGCTAAATAGAGATGAGATGTAATGACAAAGGACATGGAAAAGTCTGAAGCACTCAAAACCTACTTTTCTTCAGGGTTTTCAGACAAGTTCTGCTCTCTGGCTCATCTTTAACCTCATTCTTGAGTTGGGGGTGAGTGGTGCAGAACAGTAGTGAAAGAGCAGGTTAGAGAATCCATAGTAACACTGGACATAAAGAAATACATGAGACTGGACAGAGTCTATCCAAGTATATTGAGGCAGCTGGATGACATCACTGCAGGGAAGATATCATCATCTTTGTAAGACTGTGGTGATCAGGAAAGCTTCCCAATGACAAGAAATGTGTTATGTCCATCTGCAAAAGTGTAAGCATAATCTGGGGAGGTATTGTCTTACCTTTGCCTCTGGAAGGATTAGGGAGCTAAGCTCCCAGAGGCAATTCCAAGGTACATGAAGAACAAGAATGTGTCTGGGAACAGCCATCAGTTTTCCCAAGGTCATACTGTGCCTGGTAGACCCAATTGCTTTCTGGGATGGAATTAGTAGCTCAGTGAATTTGGGAGAACAGCAGGCATTATTTGCCTTGACTTGAGGAAGGCTTTCGACAAGGTCTCCCATGGGATCCTAGTAACAAAATGGGGAGGTATGAATCCGATGAATGGACAATAAGATGAGTAAAAAACTGTTTGTTGCCATCATACTCAAAATAGTTGTCTGTTGATTAAAGTCTACTGGCAATAAGTCAATAATCAGAGAATGGTCTGGGTTGGAAGGGACTTTAAAAATCAGCCAGTTCCAATCCCTCTGCCATGGGCAGGGACACTTTTCACTAGACCAGGTTGCTCAAAGACCCATCCTGGCCTTGAACACTTCCAGGGATGGGCCATCCAGAGCTTTTCTGGGCAACCTGTTTCTGACCACCTCACAGTAAAGGATTTTTTTTAATATCTCATCTAAACCTACAGGCTTTCAAAGACATTACACCTTGTTCTACCACTACCTGCCCTTGTAAGAAGTCCATCTCCGGCTCTCTTGTATTCCCTTTAGGTACTGGAAAGTTGCTGTAAGGTCTCCCTAGAGACTTCTGCAGGCTGAAGAACCCCAACTGTCTCAATCTGTCTTCATAGGAGAGGTTCTCCAGCCCTTTAATCATCTCTGTGGTCCTTTTCTGGACCCACTCCAACAGGTCCATGTCCTTCCTCTGCTGGAGGCCCCAGGTCTGGATACAGTGCTCCAGGTGGCAGAGCAGAGGGGTGGAATCACCTCCCTTGACGTGCTGCTACAATGAGCACACCCAGCAGTCAAAGGCAAGGGATTCTTTCCCTCTGAGCAGCATATGTGAGAACATCTCTAAGATACTGTGTTCAGTTTTGGGACCCCCCAGTACAAGAGAAAAATTATCAAAATGTTGCAAGACCAATGAAGAGCCACATAAATTGTTAGGGGGTTGGAGCGAGTGGTGATTATGAAGAGAGCAAACAAAGAGGGCTTTCACTGCCTGGGAAAGACCTGGGTATGGGGTGAACTAACCAGTGTCTTCTAAGCAGAGCTACAGACAGGGCAGAGCCAGAGGTACACAGTGAAATGGCAAGAAGTAAAAGTCACACATTTCAAGAACGGAAATTCTGTTTGTACAGGAAAAAACATACCCACGAAACTGGCTAAGCACAGACAAGGCCATCCAGTGGGTGGTTGTCCTGAGCAGTACTGAGCAACCTGGCCTAACCTTAAAGCTGGCCCTGTTTTGAGCAGGTTGGACTAGATGACTCTTGAGGTCCCTTCCAGACAAGGTTTTCTGATTCTGTCATCTTCAGCTTGTTACAGTCTATCAAGCTTGTTCATGCTATGGGAGGATGGGGTGCTAAAAGGACATTTTGTATATTAACATCGGTATGCAAATTTGGAAAAGTGTGAGTAATACAGAACTCAGGCTGTTAGCAGGTTTGGGCTTCTACTGTAAAGATAAAAAGAAGCGAAAATGGTAGGAAAACACATATATTGTTTACAAACTCAAGTTTAAATTTTTAAAGACTGTAACCATTATGTATATTCAGACTTTGACAGCTTCTACTGTTTTCTCAGCCAGGAAATAGTTTTGATCAAGACTCTTGGAATACAAAACCTCCGAGCCAGTGTATTTTTGGGAAGTCTGATACAGTGCTTCAGGAACTGTTTGAACCATTTCATAGGTAGGCATTGATTTTACACTAAAGAGGGAAACAACAATCAAGTTTAATTATGAAAAATACTAAGATTATCTGAAACTTATTGCTACTTGTCTTTTTCACTGATTTTTAGTGCTTTTTCAAATAGAAATTGAAATCAAATGGAAAGACTAAACATACAAAGTTATTTAAATTTGCAGAAAGGCAGCAAAATCTGAATTTTGGCTACGCACTTGGAACCATGATCTATTTTTTTTCAATGTCACAAACATGATAGTGTTCCTGAATTCACTTTTCCTATGTCTTATTTCCTCATCTACTCTTAACTTTTCCTTTGCATTATGCAGTGTTCAACTGGAATTAAGAAGCACCCTCTGAATTGCTTCACAAAACAGTTTTACCTTCCTCACATATATCTGTCCAAGCTTCTCCAGGAACAAACTCTAGTGTCATTAGCCTTTTAAAACTGTTCTGGGGAGGCTTCTGTAAGCAGAGGAAACTACTTCATTGAAGCTCTATAGAATCTTTATCCAGTTCCAAGTATTTGCTGAACAGAACACCACAGAAGTTTTCTGTGCTACATTTCAGTTTTCAAGTTCCATTGATAGCATTGCTCAAAACTTTTTAAAGAAAGGTCACTTTTTGAATGTCCTTCTTTGCCATTTCTCTGTGCTTCTGAAGACTCTCAACTTTTTGCTCAGAGTTTCTCAAAGGTCAGTCAGCAGACCCAGCCTGGAAAAAATACAGTAAAAATGTTAGATTAAGAGCCAGTAAGTGAAAGCGTGATAACTTTCATGCCCCTGATGTTTGCATGATAACATCTTCAAAACCACTACTCAGAAGTGGGGAAGGGAAGTCTGGGCAAAATAAAATGTCTGACTGGACTCCTGACAGTGGAATAGAAGAGTTCTGTGCTGAATCAGGATTACTGATCTCAAGTACAAATGGAAGTCACTTGCTAGAGAGACCAGGAATAAAGCAGTACACAGAGCTTATTAGGCTTTTCAGTAAACAAGAGAACTGTAGTCTTGAAGAACAAACTACTGTTATGAATAGAGGAAACTATCTTCCTCTTTTTTTTCTTTTTTTTTTTTTTTTTTTTCCCCCGCCTTAGAGTGGCAGCCTTTGGTCAGCTGGTGGAGCAGCAGTGACATACTGTGGCTGCTTTTATAAATCACACCCAGGAGGATGTGCTCCACGGCTTGGTATATTTGGAGATACTGTGAAGCAGACTCCCTTTTATACCCATCTTGGTATAAAATAAAAACTAAACGCAATAAAATACATATTTTTTTAAGTTGAGATAATGCTCATTTAGCACAAAACCACGTGTGATGAGTAGTGAATTCTGTGAGATTTTTATCCTCAAGTTATCAGTCATAAAGTGTTGTGTTAACAGTCAGTATTTTGCTTCTTTGCGTACTAAGCAAAATGATTTTTTTCTTTTCTACCCCCACTCCACCTCACCCCCCACCCCCAGGCAAGATCATATGAATTCTGCCAGGAAAAATCAAGTCGTAATGACAAGTAACGAATCAGAAAACTGTGACGGAATAAAAGCACCAGTGTTTGATGTTGGGAAAGAAACTGCAGAACTGAAAGCTCCCCAAGTTGGAAGTAGTTGTTCCTTTCTGGCACTGTTTGAAGATGAGAGCCAACCAATCCATAATAAGCCTTCCACAAAGCACTTCAATCTTTTTGTTAACCAAAGCAGTACTGACATTTTTTTCATACATTCTGATGTTAAAAATCAAACGACCGACAGAAATTATCCTTACAGCTCTAGAAAGGCTTATCCTGCAATCAATCAAAAAAAAAGTTCTGTAGACAGGCACCTTGAAGGCATTTTCACAGCTCCAGAACTGGTTTTCCTTAAAACTAACAATGTCTCAAGTGCAAGCTACAAGGAGACCACTGGACTTCATAAAACCCACCAACAGAACTTTAATGAGGGACAGCACTACTTCATACGCTGTGAAAAGAAAGAAAACCATGCAAACCTTGAAAAAACTGGTGCGTATTAAGATTTAAAGGACATATATTCTGGATTTTATTCTCCTTTTAAAGACATATATTCTTATAACCAGAGGTGTATATGCCCTATGTGAAAACGTACCGTGAATTTTCTGAATACAATTGCTTAATTTTAAATCCAATTATTTATTTTAAAAACTGGACAGAAAGCTTTATTTTCAAATTGCATTTATTGTATTTAATTTTAAACTCAAGGTTTACTTTTTTAATTTATTTTAGAGACATTTGCTTATCACCATGATCAGCAGATTAACTTAAAGGAGAATGTGCAGAATTATTCAAGAAAAAAAAGGCGAGTACCATGGAAATTATCAAACTATTAACTGTTGATAACTTTATACCTTTGCTCATCTACCTATAATAAGTACAGAGAAATACAGCTTCATGGGACAGTTTTGAGTTCCTGAAATTAAGACCTTGCTTTGGCTTGCCCTCTAAAAGACTCTGTCTCCTTCCACTGCCTGCAGAGGAAGTTAGTGTGTTCCCTGGGCTAACCTAAGCATTTGTGAGTGCCCCATATTTTACAAACCATATGTTTTTCAAAGCCTCCAATCCATAATATCTTCAGTTTTACAAAACAGCACTATCTTCTGCCATCTCTCCAACTCCATTTTGCATTTCAACAGAAACAAAGTTTATGAAACACAGATTCTGGGTGTTAAATCTCAGATTCAGAAACAAGTTCAGTGATCTTAATAGTGGAAAGCATTTTATGGTTACTGAAGACAAAATAAAAATTGAAGTCAGAAAAGGCACCAGTGAGGACTTTAACTCAGAAAGAAAATAAAAATTCAGGAGGGAAAAATCACTTACCAGAGAACTTTGTGTTTGCATTCTCAGTGATGATGAGTCTGTGAAAGAAGCAGCCTGGAGACAGAACCAGCTCTTTGGATTTGAAGAGGTAACTTTTTTAAGTGAAATATTTTTTGTCAAAGCTACTGCTTGCACCATTCGAGGTGGAGAAGAAATACCTACAACAGTTAGAAACTGCATATAGCTTCACTGAATTGACTTCTGTGGAAGCTTCTTTGCCATCATGGTTTATAAAAGGAATTCAGAAAGAACTGCTTCTAATGAAGTGGTTTGATAGACAGACCTTTCAGGCCCACAGTTCACGTGCTTTAATTCACAACTCAGCTGACTGCCTGAAATACACTAAGTTAACCATCAACCCTTAGGATCAGATTCTGCCAGCAGTGCCCAGACACTTTATGCAGGATGCTTCAGTATTGTAAAGGAGCTCTGTGCCAGTATACATAAAAAAGTCTTTTAGATGTTTTGCCTCCAGAAGTCACCCAGGTATATATGGTACTGCTCAGGGGTACAAATACCTCTTAAAATAATTTGTGGTACAATGCAGTGGCTCCTTTAAGTAATACAGAAACTGAATGTTTCTCTTAACCCAAGATGCTGATCCAACTGAACCCTCACTGTTGACACTTCATTATTTTTTACAGTTTACAACAGCACAAGGGAAAGAGTCTAAATTTGGAGCAAGTTCAAATCTTCATGAGATGGAGAGAAGTTAGTACCGTTTATGTGTTATTATTTAGGTTTTTTCTCTACGTGTGAAATTGAAACAATTACTTTTAAGGCCAGGGAGAATGATCTTTTGGGGATGTTACGTTTGTTGAGGGCTTGTGTTTCTGATACATACAGCACTGTAAAAAGGCAACCAGCATTACCAGGTAACTAAGAACTGTGTTTGCTTTTCCTTGAAGAGATATTCTCTTCCATTAGGATATATGCTGTAATTCCACATGTGGACAGAGGGAGGGGAGCCTGCAAGGCAATCCTATGTCTTTTCTGCTCCCTCAGTAGCTGTAGGGAGCTGGTGTGTACATGGAGTCTGCTGTGTTCTCTCACAGCCCTTGCTCTGCAGAATCCTTCTTCCTTTCGGTAGCTCAGTTCTGCTGCTGGTGCAGCTGCTGATTAACAGCACAGCCGAAGCTTTGGACCACCTGTCTCACCATCTCTGTTAAGATGTATTTTCCTGAGAGGAGAAAAACTGGCTATTGCCTTAGATAGCCCAGACTGAACTTGCTAACATTTTATTCTTTAAACAGTATCTTAAAACTGCATCAGAAATAGTAATGCTTAGTTCTACATGCTGTGCTTGAAAGTTGGATCTTGGGGGAGTTTTTGGTGAGTAACCTTTCTTTTTCATCTATTTTTGAAGGTGTGGAGTCACCACTCAGCAGCCAGTCTTACAGTTACTCTCCAAGGCAGACCGAGAGCTCTTTGAGCTGTAGTCCTGACACAGTGAGTACACCCCACAACCTTTGAGGGTTGGCAGGGCTCCGTTCAAATCATATGTCCATGCCTGAGGGCATCTAAGGCAAATTCATATGTGAGGAGGACAAGAAATTTTTAGTTGTAAATTTTCCAAAGTGGTTCAACAGACATGTGGTCTGTTCTCTTGAGGATGCCTGGCCATGTGGAATTACAGTAGCATGACAGTGGGAAGATGCTAAGCAAGCTTCTGTGCTCTTCCTTTGTGTATAGCTGCCTTACATTACATGCCTTTGACACACTGTGTTTTCAGCCATTCTTGAACACAAAAGTGTCACGGTGTGTGAGTATAAATTGAATGTGAGCGGGAAGGTCTACCTTGGCCACCAAAAGCCAGGAGTGCATCCTTGAGGAAAGAATGAAAAAACCCACAAACAACCTAAACCAAACAGCTCTGGCCTTTCTGTTTATATCACTAAATTATTAGTTAGTCACTAACTTAGTTATTGAACTATTCAAACAGTTGCAATTGCATAATTCTATTCAAACAGTGTGAAGAGGAAGACACAGCCAAAAAGGAATATCTGAATGAGCAGTCCTTGAAGACACATGATGCCAACCTCTCAGCAAGCAGAGAGGCCCCCAAGAGCTTCCACACCAGAACTGTGCCTCTCCAGCCCAGCAGGAGTTTGACTAGAGAAGAAGAAAACATTGTTCAGGAGAAAGGCTCTATTTTTTGTGCCACAGAGGAGGAAAATAAAAACCTCACTACTCCATCTGAGGGCAGCTCATCATGCCGAGCCCTTAAGAGAGAGTACGTCACCCGCAGCACCAGGTGTGATGTTTGGTCGCAGACTGAGCGCTCTGTGACAGAAGTGGAGAAGGTGGATGTGGCCACCCAGTGTGGCACCCTGCGGGTGTGCAGCTGCGGGGGCTTCCTGCCCGCTACCCGCAGCCCTGTGGGGGTCCCTCCTCCCTGCACCGCCGGCACCGCGGGAGAAGATGAACCAGTGCAGGAGCTGCCGCAGCCCGGGATTGCTGCCCTTCCTTCTGAAGCTGAGTACCTGAGTTTGGCTGGCAAAAGGACTCTGGAAGTGCTGAACTACATTGATAAAATGAAGGAGAGAGAGAAGCAGTGACCAGCTAGAATGGCATGTGGGGAACACAGAAGTTTTGTTCTGTTCTCGGTGTGTTTCATTCACTTGCCATATTTTGATTTTTCTTGCCTGGTTAGACAAAAGATATTTTTGCTGTTTGTTTGCTTTAAACTATTAATACCTATGGATTTCTGTCTAACTACTGCTATCTCTAAGTGTGGGTTTCTAGAAATATCTAACTGTTAACACAGGATTTTACAATACCCTAGTAAATATAAGCATTAGGAATTAGTTTGGCTTCCTCACCATATATCCATAGGATTCTGTAGTTTGGGATTGACTTTCCTTCTTTTAAGGTAGTGGAAAGGTGCTGTTTCACTTCGAAACATTTTTGATGTGAGTCTCAGTTCAGAGCTATTGTCTAGTTCTTACCCATTTTAACATACAAACTCACTTTTTCCATGTGTTTATACGAAATGAAAAAATGGGAAACAACAGGAAATATACATCTGCACACATAGAATAGAATGTAATTTAAAAAGAGCTAATTTATTATTTTGGAAAAAAAGGTTCACTTTTTATTCCACAAATCTATTGATTCACTCTCTTGTCTGTTAATACTAACAAATCTTTCATGTGTTTCTGTATTCTGTCTGCAAATTGAAAATTTGAACTACTTTCCTCTTCATTTCAGTATTTATGTGAAGCTGCAAATCACAACAAAATAAAAGTTTCTGATAATATTGCTTCCAGGTTATAGTTTTTCCTTCTAAAAAGTTCCTAGTCAAGGTGGCAGGGTGACTCATTCTGTCACTGACATCTACTTATAGATCCATACACCTTTGCTTCTGTAGAGATCTCTCTATATATATCTCATCTATGTGTGTGTACGTAGATGTACAAAAAACTCTGTGTGTGTGTGTGTGTGTGTGTGTGTGTGTGTATGCCCTGGCATTATCCAGCTCTCTGTGTGCAGGGATCCTCTTCCTTACAAACTGGGCTTAGGGAAAAACTGTGCTGGAGACTGTTCCTGAAACAGAGCAGAGTTTTGCTTCTATAAGATTAATGTATTGTGCTTTCTCCTTGGAGTCTGCTGTTAGAAGATTCATTGCCCTTATTCCCACCAGGTAGTTTTTCTTTATTTCTCCATTTTGTAGAAGGGGTGTTTGTCACCCAGCCTGGATGAGACTCGTCACCATCCTTTGTCCCTGCTCTCATCATCGAACTAGTGGTTGTATTTGCTGCTGGGTTTTATTTTTGAAGCTCAGAGCCATTTTAAAAAGAAGGTCTGCATTGCTCAACAGCTTGAGGTTTATAGCTATGCTGTTTTAAAAATAGCACCTCAGAAATTTCTGTGGACTTTTCTGTACTTGGAGGAACATAGCATTGTCTTCTGTACGTATAAATGGCATACATGGGAAGCGATTTGCACAGCCCAGCTTCTGAAACATGTAACTATTGTTTAGCCAATTCACTGCCCACTTCCTAAGGCTTGGCATAGGCAGGTTTTCTTTTTTAGGTTGCTTCAATTTAATGTCAAAGTAAGCTCCCTAGTATTTATTTTTTAAGTTGCAATATTCATCTCCACAGGAGCTATAATTTATTTGAGTAACAGCTGTGATTTGCTGAAAGCTCAGCCATTACCAGTGGTTTCTTAGGCACAGTTGTTCACTCAGTGTGACAAAGCCAGTTCAGATTATGCCACACCAGCAGTGGCCCATGCTGGTTCAAATTAGGACATCCCTGCTTTCCCAGCAGTGCCCCATCCCCGGTGTGTACCTGCCAGCCTTTCCAGTGGTGCCTGTCCGATGTCACAGCCTCCCCCGTGGTTGATGCTGCTCCCACGCCCTTGGCCTGACAGCCTCCTGCAATAGACTGTGGCACAGGCCAGTGGGTGGCACGTTACAGCTGAAAGCTACAGCTCTGTGTGCTTTAAACTTGAGGGTGTTTATTATCTCAGCAGATGTAAAATTGCCTCATGGCCAGAGAGGTCTTTGGCGTCTGTGTCAGTGAGGTACTGACGTGACCCAAACGGAGGTGAACTGGCTATAACTTGCAATGGAAGTTACGCTCCTGATTTCTGTAGCATTTTTGTTGGGACTTCTAAATTGTGGTTTGTTTTACACTGGAGCGAGCTACCCAAGTTCAGGCAGATAACCCTGATCTGCAGAACTGGCCTCTGAGCAGACACATTCCCAGTCTGCTCCAGTGAACCTACAGAACAAAGAATGCAGGTTGGAACTGGGAGAAGAGAGCCGGTGGCACATTACGGATGTATGTGTGTGGGGTTTCAAATGCTCTTTATTGGGTTACCTCTCATATTTATCATCACTTAGAGCCTTTTCGTGGGTATTGCTTATTTTCACTGTAGCCACTAGTATAGAAGCTCCCACAATCCATCCAGTTCCAGCCAGATTCCAGCCAAGATCACACCATTTCCTGGTAAGGACTGAAATTCTGCTGCTCGAGCCAGACACACACCTCCTGACTGGCTGTATGTAAGACCATGTGGTGATACATCAATCACCACAGATAACCATGTTTCAAAGTCTTTGGATGAGACTCTATGAAATTCAATTACCCTACAATTTTTACCTGTAATTGCAAAGCAATCAGAAGAAGAAAACTATCTTTGTAAGTGGTTTGTGTGCTGGTAATGACGACAAGTAAGGCAGTGTACTCTTTTTAGCTACTAGAGAAGTATTTTAAAATATTTATATTACTATTATTGTGTTAAAAGGTAACTCCTGCTTTCTCCTTAGCTCAGCATCAGTGTCCCCCCTCTGCTCAGGTGCTTTCTTTCCCCTAATTTTTTTGGAATTCCCTTTTCTGGGAAGAGCCAAGCTTGATTTAATAGGAAGTAGTAGTCTCAAATCATGCTTTCTTCATCTGATGCTATCAATTCACCAATATTTGTGACCTACAGTAATGACCATCATCTCACCATATGCACTCTGGCACCACCAGCCTTCTCTGAGGCAGTAGCATGGGCAGAGATGGTCCTTTTTCATCCACGTTATTCTTCCTGGTAGTGTGCTAAGCCTCCAGGGAGGCCATGGAAATATACCTGTTGTTAACTGTGTTTGGTAAGCATCAGTTATAAGTAGAGTATTCTTTTTGGGGAAAAGGACAGAAGGGTACCTGTAATTAACCAAAAACCAGAAGCACTTTTTTATTAGTGGCGCTCAAATGCTTCTAAATACAGATTGAAAGAAAGACTCTCTTATGGAAGTGTTACCATAAGCTTCAGTCAGAATCAGTTCTAATATGCAGCTGTTAACTTTTTTTCCCCTCTAAAATCAACTCTAATTACAGTAACCTGCAAGGTGAGGCTTCTGCTCAAGCACTGACCGAAGTTTGTTTCATTAATGGGCAGTTTGTTGCTCGATGTTATGCCAAGAGCCTCCACAGAGGCTTTGCAGAAATTCTGATTTAATTTTCATGAAGGATTATGGGAAATGAGAGGCTTAAGTCTTCATACAAGTGATTGTTTCTCTGGCAGAAACTGCTTGTGAGTTGGCTTTTAAGGGTTTTAGCAGATAGCAGATTGAGGAAGAATGAGGTTTCTCGCTGACAGCCTCTGATGGGTTAGAGGTGACAGTCCCAGTCACCCAAATCAGGACTTGCTTCTCCAAGGCTGGTGATGTCGAACTCCAGCCAGGTCTCCTGACTCTGTGACCTGAGCACTAAACACTCACCCTCTCGCCCAGCCACACTGTGGTGACTCCGCACCCTTGTGGTGCCTGGTCTGGGAGCCACAGCCCTCTGGATGTGAAGCCAACGGGACCAGCTTGCCCTGAGCTCCTGCACAGCACGCAGGTGATGCAGAGGATACACCAGCTGGGTGTGAGGTGATGGGGAATGTGGGGCCAAGAGACAGAGGGGTGGAGAGTGAGTGAAGGTAAGGCAGGAGGCTGTTGTATTATTTAATAGAGCTGAGAGAAAACGTGTCCAAATCCACCATCTGTGCACATTTGCAGAGAGAAGGCTGTGATTTAGTGCCGCCGTGTCACGCTAAGCACACGGGCGCTGGCCTGGCCCAAGGACCCAGAGCTGTGGTTGATCATAGCACAAACCAACATGTTGCAGAAGATTTACTTTGTTCCCCAGGCTGGAGTCATTAATGGGAAACAGGAGGCCAGTAAGGAGGTTTGCTCTCCAGAGAAACTGCATGCCCTCCAAACAGATGAATTTTTGGAGAACCCCAGACCAGCTGAAGCTGGCGGGGATCCCTGAGCTCGCCCAGTGCAAGCACCACTGGGAGCAGGGCCAGCTGGAGCAGGATACCTTGGGCCATGGCCAGCTGCTATCACCAGACACCCAGGCTGGGGGAATAAGCCATGCCAGATAGGAGACCCCAAGGAAGCTGTGCCTGCTCACAGAAGCTGCTTGCAGATGGAGGCAGCCACTGCCTGAGTGCCTGCCTGTGCTGTGAGCAAGGCAGGACCCTGGGGCTGGAGGAAGGGGAGCTGTAGACATGTGAGGAGCAAGGCTGGGCGCTGCCCTGCCCTGCCCTGCGTTCTTGGACCACAACTCCTGCCTCTTCTGCCTCTACTCACCCACATTTCCCTGCAGCAGTGAAGAGCAGCAGTGTTGCACCCCAACACCAGCCTGTCCCTGAGTGCCAAAGCTGCAGTGCCTCGCTCAGCAGCCTTGGGGCTGCACTAACAACAGGCACTGATTGCTCTCCCACCAGGGACTAAGGGGGCCCCAATGCCCTCAGCATCTCCCTGTGAATCCCACCCACCACAAGGGAACTTAACACACAGAGAGGCTACACAAGCTATCTCATCTGGTACCGGGCTGGGGCTGGCAGTCAGCCTTCACTCAGCTTACAAAAATTTTGGTTGCTCTCAATTTTTTAACCATCATTTTTAGCAGCCCACGAGAAGAGAGCAGTGGGGACACCAGCCTCAACTTAGTTCCAATACTGCAAGGGGAAGCTGCCTCTCCCCAGCCAATGTGGGGGTCGTGGGTACCCCAAACACCAGGGAGAGCACGGGGGAACCCACATAACATCAGACTGACTCTGACTGCAGTCACATCTTGTGACAGTCCTACAGGGCACGCTCACATGAGACATCCTGGACATGAAGCAGCTCCCTGGGAGCAGTAAGACAGGGTTTGATGCCATCTCACCATATATTAAAATAAGAACCAATTTCACAGCAATGCTTATTCCAAGGCACCACTTCCCAGTGGGGACCTGGCCACCTGCTGCAGGCCACAACTGCCACTTTAGGGATAGAGAAGTCATCTGGCATCTGCAGGATGGCACGTTACCTGACTGCCAACAAGCTCCCCTTTGCAACTACAGCTATGCTAAGTGACCCTGAGTGATGGCTTCAGGTAGAAAATCTGTACACGGGATTTGGTGACAGCTGGCTGGGGACATGGGGTCTCATCAGCCTCAGCTGTGGAAATGGCTTTGAGAGGGAAAAACTGCGGGGCTGGGAAGGCTGAAAATGCCACAGCACTGTCCAAGGGAACCAGAGACACGTGTCCAACAAGTCAGGTGGGGCAGCATCAGCCCTGAGCACTGTAATACAAACCCTCCCCCTAATTCTGGGGAATGGCACTAAACCAAAAGCAGGTCAGCTGTGCTCCGGCTGCCTGTTCAAAACCCACACCTCCTGCTTTGCCTGATGGAGTCTGAACTAGCCCAGACCACACCTCTCTCCCGGGTTTTTGGCCATGCTGGGGGCTTGTGTGACT